GCCATGCATTTATACTTGTGCGTAGGTGTGTCCATCATTCTGCAATTACACCTCCAAACGCTAGTCGGCAGTAGCGCTACAGCGTCCACTGTGTTGACTTTTGCCGGCCGAGCAGGCTAACATCAGCAAGTAGCCCTTGCTAACGACCGAATGGATCACATTCTGATAGCGAAACGAGTCATTTTGCTCGGGTTGCGACGGTCAAATATATTGATTCACTGTGTTACAGCCGCCATTTTGGCCGCTAGTAAATGTTACTTTAAAGCACGGGGTACTTCCGGTCAGCTTGGAGGCATTGCGAGGCTACCCAGCCGACCAATCACAGAGCTTACGGTCCGCGTCGACTCAACTGTGTTTTCGAAACGGGCTAAACTGCTGTCTCAGAAGATGTCCAACAGGACAGCGAGCTTTCAAAATCTGGTCAAGATGGCAGACAAACAAGCCGAATTTGTACACAAATATACATTTTTAAAAGTTTTTAGTAGTTTTCTCGCTTTGATTTTTGAAAATCTAGCGAGAACAAAACATTGAACTATAATATTAGTTTGTTCAGTATGATTTCTGAGGCGTCTGTTAGCCGTTTGGCTTTTCAATAGCTAGTTAGCTTATGCTAAGGCTAGCGTCTCTTCTGACAGCCAGAAGTCACACGTTGCTGTAAGTGCTGCCCTAGAAGGCTGTTCGAAACTAATGTAAACAGAGCTGCCTTCACTTGAAAGTGATTCCTTCTGAGGCAACTGTCTACTACGGTATCGAAGCAGCGAGGCAACTGCCTTCCGTTTCGAACACAGCTGATGTGTACATTTTTGAGGAGGTGCACGTCAGGCAACGGTAAAGCCTCTGCGTAGCCTCTGCGTAGCCTCTGCGTAGCCCCGTAGCCTATGCCGTCACCTACGCCGTCGATTTGACTCAGAAGTATAAATTGCCCTTTAAAGCAATCATGGCAGGACAGCCACACAACACGCAGTGTGCCAGCTCTTCACACGGAGGACAAAATCATAAACACACTCGCGGCCCACCAACAGGTGCCTATCAGCTAATCACCGCGCACACCGCTGAACTGCCGGTCCGGCCAGACCAACTCCCCCGCAACGTCAGTTCCCCCTGCTTCATATCCACAGGAAATGTAGGCTTATTTAGGCCCTATGAAAAAACATAAATCAATAAAAGAAAACTAAGGACATTACTCTTTCATTTTAGTTAGTTTTGCAAACCTACAATACAGTTTTAGTTTATTGTCGTTTTGTAAAGCCTCGTTATTATTTCAGTTAATGACGATGTTTTTTCACATCTAGTTTTCGTTATTTTGTTCATCTTCGTTAATGATAACCTTGCTATAGAGAGCACAAGAAACTGCATTGTTTGTTTTTAGTTTCTAAAGAGGGCCGCACAGAAACAGTTATGGGTAAACCAAATTTGAAAGGGACATTTGTGACATTTCTATAACATAATATTTCTGAATGTACATTTGATAAACAATAAATCTTAAAAAAAAAAAAAGGTGCAATGAATGAATGAAAATCAACTAAACATAAAAAATGTCCGTATTCAACAGAAAAATACATATGGACACCTTCTGAATTCAAGTTTCTCTCTTCCACCAAACTACAGCTGCTGTAAATCAACTGTACTCCCTGTCTCAAACTGGCCTCCGTTGGTCTCAGGCTGTGCTCTGTCTCGCACACTCGGCTCCTGTTCTGGTGCCCATTCTGGACTCAGTCAACTAAGGACTGCTAAATTGGCTGCATGGCTAACTGAGCGAATAAGCTAACGGCAGTTAGAAGCAGATGTGACCTGATATGTGATATACTGCCCCCTTGAGTGTGAAGTCAACAGGTTCTCCACCTGTAGTCTCTGTTCTTAAACATTGCTCCTTTAAACCTGCATAACCTGCTTTTTGGCCACTTGGGGGCAGCATAAGACTCACTGGGTCCCAATGTGTCGGACGGGAGGACAGCCCGTCAAGATCAGTCCAGCGGCTGAAAACACACACTCGGGTGGCACTGACATTGCAGGAATGCAGAGGCGTACCAGCTTTGCCAGTCTGGGGAATCTCCCCGCATTAACATTCCACCAGTTTTGCTGGCTTTATATCCAAGGATGGGTGAATGTCCCGTTAAAAGTGCTCAACCTCCACGTCCATGCTGCCAGAGCTGTTGAGTACTGCTTCCCCAAAAGTAGAGCAATGGCGGAGGCTTCACACACGGCTGCTGCTCCTGGCACTATTGACTGGCTTTGTTGGCCACAACACCTTCGGCTTGTGGGTTAAGGGTGGCCACCCTCACTGCCTCTCCCAGATCAACCAGTGTTGCTGATGGAGATGGAGTATTAGCAGTATCCAGCTTGGTGACAGTCTGTTTGGATAGGACAGCGACTACAGCCCTCCTCTGCTCCACTAGCCAGACAAACACATCACAGACAGAAGTCTCGGTGGGCCTGGTGGGCCGTTGGAGTGGCTGTGCCACTTGTTGTTGCTTTTCTTCTAGAGCTTTGGTGGGGACTATAGTTACAGTGGCTACCAGCCACGGAGATTACCTTTTTGAGGTAGACGATCAATCTGTCATTGATCTCAAGCTGATTAATGATAAAAAAATCCTTATTGCAGCCCTAGACAACTACATTTAAGTGTGTGTGTGTGTGTGTGTGTGTGTGTGTGTGTGTGTGTCACGAGTGATTCTGTATTCATGAATCCATTTGTGACCCTGTCACTCAGGTGCCATGAAAGTTTTTAAAATGTAATTTAATTTACAGTTGTTTGCTACAGTAAATCCATTCATGATCCTCGCTACTATAAAAAAAAGAAAACTCTTTGGTAGAAGCTCCACTCCGTCTCCTCTGTCAAGGACAAATAAATCACTCAGTCCCTGGAGGAATACCAGCTGGCATTTGAACTTGAATTTGATTGTGCCATTTGGCCTTGTGTGGAGATTGACTACGCTTTTCCTCATTCCTGCCATTCAATCTTCAAATTAATTTCCCTGTGTTTACAGGAGATTTCTGTCTAAAGGAAACAAACAAATGGTGGTTTCATACAGCTGGCCCAAGCACACTTTTGTCTGTTTATTCATTGCTGGATGTTTTAAACTGCTCTGATGAGATTTGGCAATGAAGTTGGATCTCCTAAAGAGGCAGGAAGAATAAAGTGCATAACATGAGTTTAACAGTGGTAATGAAGACTTAAATAGTGCAGGGTCTTTCTGTGCCAAGATAGAACAAAGTTTCTTGTAGTATTGCTGGAAAGTTTTGGTAGAAGATATAGAGGACACAGAACAATAAATCAACATGTAGTCTGTGCCCTAGTGTCCATGTGTGTTCATCAGTCTTTGTGACCTGGAGAGTTCTCTGTTGTCTGCACTGGGCATCTAATTCAGGACCAAACTTAATGTGGTATAATTAGCGTAGAAGTTGATAAATTAATTAGATGTGTAGAGATTGGTGATGTCTAAGGTATCTACAAAGAGACTACAATTAATTGATGAACGTAGTGGTTGAGGGACACACTCTTGCTTTTATCAGTCCGCGAAGTTCTTAATTAAAAGCACTGCTATGAGGACAGATGCAGTGTCGTGTTTTAATGCTACTGTATGTTTGTAGACTGTTGGGAGGTCAGTCAGATAAATGAACAGACATCCATCCTGTTAGAGGAGCCCTGTTGATGTGTTGTGTGGAAGCTGCACACCTCTCCTGCTGAGGATGACGACTTCCTGTTGTTAAATCCACTGAGAAACACGTTTTCTACTCTGTTTCAGCTCACTGGTGAGCAGTACAGTAGGCAAGCCCTTTCACTGCACAAGCTAAAGCACAAAGAACAGGAGGGAAATGCAACGCTTTTATTGATTACCAATAATGTGTACTGTTGCATGACATACAGACAGCTTACTTCCATCTCACTCTGTTAACACGGCTGCATTCAGTCTGCACAGCCGCTGTACGCAGCTGATGAGGGTAGTCTGTTGCTAGGACACCAAATCCTACTGAATAGATAATATGTAATAAATTCCTTTTGACTGGCTACTTCCTGCATTAATTTTATTGTATTTGCTTTTTCATGTGTTGGTGGAAACACAAAGACTTTGTTTGCATATTAATAAAACATGAAACAGATGTATTACAAGGTTTCTCTCTGAAGCTCATTTGTGTCAGTCCGTGGTTAGGCTTTGAAAGATAAACACTACATCATTGACAGAGTAGCGACTACAAGATGCAGGATTACAGAACTTTAAAAAAAACTATATATTGCCCTGTAACTGGTATGGCATGTGTATCTCTGTGTGCGCGTGTATCATGGTGAATAGAGGACACATGTGCTAGCTAGTTTACATTTGTGTTGGACAGTTTGTTTTCTGTTAAAGCAGTTTGACAGATGGTAAAACATCTTATGACTGAAAGCAGTTTCACATACGTTTGCCACAAGTAGTGATGCCACAGCAAATCTTTTGTTTTATTTGTTTACTATCATTTTTTGTCAGATGTTTACTATGTAGGAAATTTTAAAAAAATATATAAGAATAAAATATTCATTTTAGTTCGATTTCTTTCCCTGTAATCCCTCAGACATGGTGTCTAAATAAAAAAAAAAAACTCAATGACAAAAAAGGTGTCAATTTGTCAATACATATGTTGCATATTCATGTAACTTAACATGGCACTAGCGGTTCGTTACAGTTTTACATAGTGTTTGCATTCAGTTGTCAGAACAATAGACCCATTTCACAGCAGACAGGTGTATATAAGATTAACGATGGCTCCATTCCATACCAAGTGTCCCAGTAGGTCAGTGACTGAGCATGCCCAACACCAGACCCATGGCTCAAATGGAATGCAGCCAATATCAATGTCATTAATTCCACCTGTGCTTTTCCTGCTTGAAAAGTCAAAATGTCTGCTGTGAAAAGGGACCATTCATGATAAAGGGTTAACTATTACAACCAAATGGATTATCTCTATGTCCCCGTGTCAACTACTATCCTGCAAACTAATCTTTTGCCCTCTCTCCCCTTCAGGAGTACACCATCGATGTCTTCTTCCGCCAGAGTTGGAGGGATGAGAGGCTGAAGTTTGACGGGCCCATGCAAGTTTTACCCCTCAACAACCTCCTGGCTAGTAAGATCTGGACTCCAGATACCTTTTTCCACAATGGAAAGAAATCGGTGGCCCACAACATGACGACTCCTAACAAACTGCTGCGACTAGTTGACAATGGCACGCTTCTCTACACAATGAGGTGAGCTACATTTGAAATTACTTCCCAGTCAAAGCTGACACTTTTTTGTTGAGTACTGTACTTTAACAAGGCCAATGTCCAGTGTTGTCCGGTTTTTCTATAAATATGAAGTAATAGTTCAAAGCTCTGGGTGACAGCCGACACTAACAATGGTGGAACCAAATATGAACGGAATCTCGGAGCTGAGAAGCTCCAGTTAAGATAAACCAATGTCGTAGTCCTAAAAAATAAAGTAAAAAAAGCTGTTTACTCCGAGCTCCTCCTGCCTTTCTCGGCAGTTTAGCAGCTCTCCGTCGGCCAGCGGGGTTTTACTTCATTGAAGCCATCGGTGACGTCTGGATAATCCACACTGATACGCTATCGCGACTCAGCATCATGAGAAAGTCGCATGATGCTGAGTCGTGAGGGAGATACAGAGAGGTACGGAGGGGCCCGGAGAGCCACGATTTCCTTTTGGCCGGTGGGGAGGGGGCTCTCTGTGTCTTGGCATTGATTTGTATGTAAACGCACCGCCCCCAATTCTCACTTCACTTGTGGTCTGAAAGCACCATTAAAGGCTGCACTTAGGCACAGCAGGGCTTTGGGCTACTTGCTGATGTTAAGAAGGTATAATGTTTACCATGTTCACCATCTCAGTTTAGCGTGTTAGCAAGCTAATATTTGGCAATGAGCATTTAACAAGAAGTACAGCTAAGGCTGGCAGGCATTAGTGTTCAGTACATATTCAAACTAGTCTTCATTAACAAATCTACAAAGTGAACTGACTACACTGAATCACCATTGTCCTGACTGAATCAGTAACTTTCACCAGAGGAGCTCCCCCCTCACTGGTGACTGAAAGCACCACTTTCAGCTCAGCTGTGAAACGCAGTTACTGCCAGATTAAAAGCTTTGTAAAAGACTGCGAACGCCACAAGAACCATTATGATGTCATAGTCCCCTCCAAAAGTATTGGAACGGTAAGGCAAATTCCTTGTTGTTCACTGAAGACATGTGGGTAAAAGATCAAAAGATGACTGTGAGACAAGAGTTCAGAATTTCAGCTCTCATTTCCTGGTATTCACATCTAGATGTGTTGAACAACTCAGGACATATCACCCTTTGTTTGAACCCACCCATTTTTCAAGTGAGCAAAACTATTGGAACATGTGACTGACAGATGTTTCTTGTTGCCCAGGTGTTGTCTTTTAGGTTGATAGTCCAAACATTAAATAGTTGTGCATGACTAGTCTAAGTTTTCATCCTTGGTTCAAACCTATAAAGACTGCATTTCCTGTTAAAGAGGATAAACCAACATGAAGACCAGAGAGCTGTCTGTGGGAGAAAAGCAAGCCATTGTTAAGCTGAGAAAAGAAGGAAAATCGACCAGAGCCATTGGACAAACATTGGACACAGCAAGCACAACAATTTGGAATGTCCTGAAAAAGAAAGAAACTACTGGTGTATTGAGCAACAGACGTCGAACAGATCGGCCAAGGAAAACAACAGTAGTTAAAAAAACAACAACAAAAAAAAACAACATCAGTAAGTGACCTCAGCAATGACCTCCACAGAGCAGGGTGAAGGTATCACAATCCACTGTTGGAAGAAGACTCAGACAGCAGAAATAAAGAGGCCACACCACAAGATGCAAACCACTCATCAGCAGGAAGAATCTGAAGGCCAGATTGAAATTTGCAAAGTAGTACAGAGATGAGCCGCAAAAGTTCTGGAGCACAATCTTATAGACTGATGAGACCAAGATTAATCTCTACCAAAGTGATGGAAAGGCCAAAGTGTGGAGAAAGAAAGGAACTGCTTATGATCCGAAGCATACAAGCTCATCTGTGAAGCCTGGTGGAGGTAGTATCATGGCTTGGGCATGCATGGCTGCTTCTGGAACATTAATAGTTATTGATGATGTAACTGATGATGGTTGCAGCAGAATGAATTCAGAAGTGGACAGAAACATTTTGTCTGCCAGTTTATGGAGAAATGCATTGAAACTAATCGGGAGGAAGTTTATCATGACCCAAAGCTCACTGCCAACAAAACAAAGGACTTCATCAGGGGAAGGTTTTAGACTGGCCAAGTCAATCACCTGACTTTAACCCAATAGAGCTGCATTTCACCTCCTTAAGAGGAGACCGAAGGGAGAAACCCCCCGAAACAAACAAGAACTGAAAGAAGCTACAGTAAAAGCCTGGAATAACATCACAAATGAAGAATGCAACAGTTTGGTGATGTCGATGGGTCGCAGGCTTGAGGCAGTTATCGCAAGCAAGGGTTATGCAACCAAATATTAAATGTTATTTACTTTATTATTTGTTTCATTACTTTTGCTCACCTAAGAATGCTGTGGTCTAATACAAACGGTGGTATGTCCTGAGTTGTTTAACAAATCTAGATGTGAATACTAGGAAATAAAAGCTGAAATTCTGAACTCTTGTCTCATGCTCATCTTTTGATCTTAAATGTCTTCAGTGAACATCAAAAACAAAGGAATTTGCCTTACCGTTCCAAAACTTACTAGTGAAGACCAGCACCAAATGTAACATTGTAAGATGGTTCGCTGAACGGTGATGAGACCAATTAGCTTAAAAAAAAGTGAATGAACTACATAGTCAGTGACTATATACTATAATCTTAGAATTGAAATGATTCGAATCAGCAAAGTGATTTTTAATTTCCACCTCTATTGGGAAAGTCATTCATTTTGCGGGTATAAGGTCAAAGTATTGGACAAATTGAAAATTTGAACAGCTGATGGTGCTGGATGAAATGTCAGAGGATCACCAAAAGTTATTACAATTCATCCTGGGTGGGACATAAATGTCTGTACCAAAATGTAATGGCAATTCATCCAACAGTTGTTGAGATATTTCACTTAAAATCACATATGTCAGCTTCGTGGTGGTGCTAGATGAAAAGTCAGGGGATTAGAAATAAAGTTGTGGGGAGGTGTTGCAGCAGAATTGAATTTTTCTGAGTGTCAGATAACTGACTTGCAGCCATTCTGGGCCATAGAGGATTCACACACAGACAACCCATTGAATAAACCCACTTTATCAAATGATATTGTGCATATGGTAAGGCCTACACTAAATTACATCAGCCACCAAGACACTTACAGTCAGTGAGTACTATTATCTACAGTACCAAAGCAAAATAATTCATTGGTTTTCAACCCATCTAACCACTGAAAATGTCAATGAATCAGCCTTCCCCCGGAGCTTTGCATCACTTGAAAATAAATATTCTTAAGGTGCTTGTCTACAAGGACAGTATTGATTTTCAAGGATAAAAATGAAATACTGAAAGAATTTTATTTTACTGTCCCACATGAGTTAGATTTGGTGTAGTTGCAGTTCTTGCCAAGGCCAAGAAATGCACTACATCTGAGCTCTAATTTAGTATTGCGAAAGGGCTGTGGTAACATGCCAAGTGGTATAATGAAGCAAAGTATGATAAACCTCTGTTGGACAAAAGCAAACAGCCCTTTTGGAACCAGCTTATTGGTCATCACATATCCAGTTTGAAGTGATATTTCTATTTGATTTCAAGCTAAAATCTAAACTTAATTTTGTTACTATAGTCACTACTCTTTTTTAACATTACTATTTTAACTAACAACATGCAAGATATCATTAGAAATCCTAAGAATTTTCTATGTGTTCAATTCACGGGGCTACCTTACGTTCGTAATGCACTGGCTGATTAGTTGAACTGCTACTGGCTAACACTCCAAAGGAGAGACTGATAAATTTGCCTGAGCACACTTGACAGGTTTTAGGCTTTAGAATATAAATCCACCTATTTTTTAAAGGAAGTTTAGTCTGACGTGCATCACCATAGTACCTTGTATTGATGTACACTCCTCACTGAACAACTGCTTAAATCCATTTAATCAGCATGTCCACAGAATCTGAACTGACAAATGCTGTGAAGGCCTCCGCTCTGCAGGATTGCGTCATTATTCTGATTTGAGGGAGCTGGTATTGTCTGCCAGTGCTGCTGCAGTCTTGTTTTTGTGCGAGAACATTTATCTCTCACTCTCAGTTCACCTCAATTTAACTCAAACTGTATGTGGTTACTAAAGCAATTCTGTTTCCCTGATAGAGAATATTCATTCATGAAAAGTTTAAAATGTACTCATCAAGGCAGAGGTGTATATTTTTTGGTTGAAACATTGTGCAAAAATGTATTTATTCTTAAATCCCCAAATTGGACTGCACAGTTTATGAAGCGGTGAAAACAAATACAACTGTAATGCCATATTTAAGGATATAGAGAGAGTGATGAAACAAAACAGGATCCACTGGACCAATGATGCACAACTAAACACGAATTAAAGCACAGACTTATTAAATATTGTTGGATTTTGAACAGTTATATTCAGTATACATAATATGGTAAACATTATACCTGCTTAACATTTGCATGCTAGCATTGCCATACTGTCAGTATTTAGCTAAGGAATGAGATGAATTTCATCAATTAGTTGGTAGTTTAAGTGCTGTATGATATGCAGCTGTGCATTGCTCACAGTGATTTATGTTATATTGCATTAATTCGCAGAGTTCCTTAGCAACCTATCAGTAGAATTCTTCATAGAATTTACAAGTTTCCTTGTAAATATGTACACACTACCAAAGTATACAACTGTAGAAATGATCAAGCTATATTCAGTATAGCTGACATGGTTTACAAATGAGAATTACACATATACTAACTTTTATATGCTCTGAAATTCTGTTCCTATCCTAGTTGGTCAAATAACCCAGTTTTGGAGTGATGCTTGGACTATAAATGTTGTAATTGATTTACAATAACCCAGTTTGTGGTCCATTTGAGTAACTCAGTCCACTGTAGGATGGATTTATGGGTTGATTTTTATAACTCAGCAAATGTAATCCCATGTTGATTAAACATGCATCAGTGAGATAATATGCCCCATTTCTCTATTTACTTATAGAGTGCGTTTTTGTGGCTCAGCCAGCTGACCAAATGAAATAAACTGGTGCTCTCCGGAGATGTTTTTCTTTGCCGTCTGTCAGCTAAACACTCATTACCACTTGCAGGGTGGCTACAGGAGGGAGGGATAGTGAATGTCTGTTCTTACTCCAGTTTTCCTCAAACATAGTACATACTGAGGTTTTAAAATGACTGAAGTACTCCGATATTAAAGTGGTTACTGTGTCATGTTAAAAAACAAACAAACAAAAAAAAACATGGAGACACTCATTTTTGTTCTTCAGGCGTCCCTTTTGGTCTTTGAAATTGCACCGCGTTTTGTTTCTGGTGACACATGTCATGATGTGTTTGTAACGGCCACCTCAACCACACTGCAGCCTGACCCCTGGAGTATTGCCTCTCCCTCTGCCCCCCTCAGGTTGACCATTCATGCTGAGTGCCCCATGCACCTGGAGGATTTCCCGATGGATGCACACGCCTGTCCTCTGAAATTTGGAAGTTGTAAGTCAGTCCAGATGGTCACAACAAAGAAACGTTTAATATAAAACCGCACTGCAGAACAGTGGTGATTGTTCTCTGCAGGTGTTAGGTGCTTTTCCTGTCCTGAAAAAACTTCAGAGGACTGAAACAGCACTCACCACTAGTAACGTGACACTAGGGGATAACTTTTATATGAAGTGTTTCAAAGTATTTCCCCACCGGCTTGAAGTGAACGTTGTCTTGATAAAGTTGAGCCAAAAAGGTCAATGTTAGAAAATATGTGTTTCAAGCATGTTGACCAAACATGATTAAAAGGATGACCATCACTCTGCTCTTTAGAGCTAGACAGATAAATCGCCAAGGCCCATACTAGCTTATTGTAGATAGCATCAGTATGTCAGCTGTTAAGAAACAAAAACATGTTAAAAATATGTTTAGGGAATTTAGAAACTGTGTCCCACTACTGTGAATAGTTTAACCACTAGAGACCACTGTGAAGTTGATTTTTCAAAACTATAAATCAAGACATCTCTTGCTCATTGCACATCTAAATTGTTTTTAGTTTCAGGGGTGCTATTAGCTGAATGCTAACGTCAACATGCTAACGTGCCCACAATGACATTTAGCAGGTAATGTTTACCATGCTCACCGTCTTAGTGTAGTGTGTTAGCATGCTAACACTGAGGCTGGTCATTAGTTTTGCAGCTATGTGGTCATAAACCAAAGTATTGGTTTCACAGGTGTACAAAGCAGGGATGAGGAACACAAGGGATTGGACCCAAATACAGACACCAGGGAAGAGCAGGTGCAGTTCAATTATATTTAATGTCAAAATCAAAAGGGTTCAAACTGTTTAGAGTAGTCACAGGTCAAATCAGAAGAAGCAGGCTGACAACAAATCCAGTAGGGAGCAGGCAAAAGACAAAGTCCAGAGAAATTAGTCCAAACACAGAGAGAACAAAACACTAAAAGAACGGCAGGTAAACTTGGCATAGAGAAGACGACGAACTAGCACTGACACAAAGGAACACATAGACTAAATACACGGGGATAGGAAGGAAAATGAAGCACAGGTGAAATAAATCAGGGCAGACCATACAAAAAAATAAAAAGGCAGGAAGTAAAGTTACACAAGACACATGAGGAAGAACTTTCAACATAAAACAGGAAATATAAAACTAAAACCCAAAACCATGACAATTGGATGAATAAAGAAAATATTTTTTAATTGAACTGATGATGGACAAAAGAATATCACTTATCATATTTTTTAAACTCTTAAATACTGATATGAATATCTGCCTCCAAAAACAGCCAGATCAATACTGGATTGATAGTATATAACTAAAAATCACTCCCTCACTACTGTATTGAAAACAACAAAGTGCTCAGCTCATAGTAAACTTTGCTGCAGCACCTTTTTTGCCATATCAGATGTTGATCATCTGTTCTACAGCATGAGACAGATAAGAGAAAAATACTTTTTAAAAGATGCCTCATGTTGATTTTGTAAATGATGTAAAGTGATTTTGTACTGATTCTTTGCCCTCTCTCTGTTGCCCAGATGCTTACACCAATAACGAGGTGATCTACCTGTGGACCCAGGGAGACGAGAGATCCGTTGCTGTTGCAGAGGATGGCTCCAGGCTGAACCAGTATGACTTACTGGGACACGTTATTGGCAAAGAAACCATCAGTTCCAGCACAGGTACACTATATGCCATCCAAAATATGCAAGGCTAGGTGTTAAACCAAGTAATACACACATTAAGTTTGTATACATGCAATGTGCACAGGCAGGTCAGCCAATCAAAAATTCAGAGCAGTTTTTGCAGACACACCAACTTCTATTAGATACCTCAAGCAGTGAAGAAAATGAGTGTGTAATGGTATGAAACTCCTACCTATGAAACATAAACTATCATTTTTCTGCATAAGATTTGTAGTAAATTAAATTGCCTTCGTTCTTTTCTGTTGACATGCACTGGCACTCTTTGTGTTTTGACAAAGTAACAGTCTGCACTTTTCGAGTTTGTCATTTTTGGATTTAGCTTGCATTATTTGGGTCCATCGGGAAAATGATGACTTATCAGTTTTCCATAAACTATTCAGCATATTTACAAAGATAATATGAAGAGGTGTGCCAGAGGTGAAAATATTTTCCATTCCGTTTTGGGATTTAGCCTAGAGTCAACTTTAATAAGCACACAATTAAAGTAAAATCTGCCAGACCATACTTGATTAAATATTAATTTTATCTTAAATTCTCATTGTTAAAACTGTTGCAGAAACCTTTTTATCAGTGACACACAATCAAATCAACTCCTCTTTATTTCCCCACTTGGGGACTTAAAACGTATGTTAGTGCTTTAACATAAAGGGATGAAATAACAAGATGAGGGCTGCTGGTACTGTTTTTATTATGTGTATTAGTAGTTATTATTTATAAGAAATTTGCCACATAGTTTTCACAGAGCTTTATCAGGCAAATAACATCAAGCACTTTCAACATCAATCACCAGCTATAGGTAACAGTACAATAAGACTGGATAAAGTGCTGATTACTGCAAAGCTATAGATAAAAGGTTGCTTCAGTGGGGCACTTGGTAATTACTGAAAGAGTGCTTAGCTAACAACTGAGCAACACTGGCTTTCCGTTTTGAGATATTTTAACTCTGCGGTTAAGCTGTTAGCTCGGTGAGCTACTGAATCACAGAGATCTATCAGATTTCACTTGTGTTTGGAGACTAAACCGCCATGAAACCGCTTTGTTGGATGATACTCAGGCTGTTTTCCTAGGCAGCAAAAAGTGTGTTGAAAGCTGCTGAAATAAAAGCTCTTGTGTAACTCTACTGAGGACACTTTCCTTGAGTTCATCTTTATTGTTGTACTGCTCAGTGGTTTAAGCGAATTGCAGAGGTGTTTTGAAGGAACAAACACCAACTAAAGCCTGGCTACAAGTACCAAAATTCAAGGTGAAGTCAACATGATTCCTTTCACAAACTGGTTCAGCATGTGGCTGTGAAAAAAAATCTAATTTCTTTAAACTTTAAGCGTAATGGTCCACAGTGAGCTGAGGGAATGGGAGGATTTGAGCCAGTTCAGCTCTGGTTAGAATCTGCTCAGAAAAAACACCTGAGGGAATGAAAGGCTGTTTTTCTCATATCTTTGCAACACAGACGACAGACATGGCAATGAGAGCTGCTGCTTAGGGGAACTTTGCTGTAGTCAGTGACAAAATCTGAGCTGAAGGAAATTTTCAATATCAAGAGTTAGAACGATGCAGGGAGAGGCTCTTCAGCAAAGGAAAATGTAACTACTAGTTAAAGGAATACACTGAAAATCGATATTTTGAGAATCAAAAGGCTCAGCATTAGCTTGAAAGGTTGCTCGGAAAATGTTCTGACCTACAAACTGCTCCGTTTGTGGAGGACAGCAGTTGCTGTTAGACCACAAATCATCAAGCAACAAACTTTGACGATTCCAACCTAGGCTTTTGGTGCAGTGTGTCTTTTTTTCGGAGCAATACAGTAATGAAAGAAATCAGGTGACAAGGACAGTTTTCAGTGTTTACCTCACCATTTTATTTCTCTGACCATAATGATTTTCAGAGACAGTGAAGAGTGTGACATTGGGCAACAATATTATTTACAACTATTCCAGAACTGCAGCATCTTTTTATTAACATTTGTACCTCAACTCAAGGTTTCCTTGGATAAGTAATTGTCCTCAGTGTTCTAGTATTTGAGGAATAGCCAGGTGCTGCTTTAACATGACCTTGGACTCTTTTCACAGAAAAGACAATTGTTCCCTCAAATCTGCACCAAAAAAATTCTAGTGAAAATAAATACAATAAAAGGCATGTCGCCTGATTCTAGTTTAAACTAAAGTGAAGTTTAGGCTAGTTACATGACTTTTTTCTATGTTTTTATATGGTTTAATGGCTCATCTAAGGGACTGAAAACAATCTTACAAGTTACTTTGATGAATGCAAGCATTCATGTTAATGTTTTAACTTTAATAAATCTACTTTGAATATTTCAGCTTATGTTGTTCCCAACTGGGCATAGCTGTATTAATGCTTATGACCCTGTGTCTCTCCCCCCATCTCTTTCTATGTTTCTCTCCTCTCCCTCAGGAGAATATGTAGTGATGACAACATATTTCCATTTGAAAAGGAAAATTGGCTATTTTGTGATTCAAACCTACCTCCCCTGCATCATGACTGTCATACTGTCTCAAGTCTCCTTCTGGCTAAACAGAGAATCGGTTCCTGCTCGCACTGTATTTGGTAAGTGCCATCTTGTGTTTAAAATGCAACTTTAAAAAAATGCACTAAATCATTAAATGAATCGCTTAGATGATGTGGTGGAGCTTTTAAATTATGGGGTAAGAGCAAAACAAATATGCAGAGCTGCATTTGTTCACATCGTCAGATGATTCAGCAAACTGCAAAATGAGTGGAGCGTTTAAAAAGAGGTTCCCCTTGAAAAGTTCTAATTAACATAACGATGTACAAAACATAACTTGGTGCCTTAAGGTGCACATGGGCATGAATGAGTCATTTACTTTTTCCAAAGCTTTTATTACAGTATCGACTTTACTTACTTACTTTGGAAAGTATAAAATTGGAAAAGTGTGGCAGCTGACTGACGAGGTGTCGCATCTCTTGAGGAGGATGTTCGGCTGCTTTGTCAACTAAATAGACAGCCAGCCAGGTTGGAAGTGTTATTACTCACTGAGCTCGAGGTAATTTAGAAAGAACCAGACACATCTGTTTTCAAAATAATCCCCACAAAAGCTACCATGGACTCTTTTCTCACGGTTTACTGTTGAACCATATATAGCCCAAATCCAACCTTTAATAGTAGTGTTTTGTATTTGTATACAAACAACAAAATATATTATTTCAAAAGAAGTAAGCTGCGTATGTGTTCAGCAAATAATAGATTAATTTGTGCATGTAGCACCATTGATGTAAAGAACATTGTGTCGGCTTAGATCACCCCATACTCAGATGTAATTTGCCCTTCCCCTCCCTCTTTCAGTTGTTGTGTAATCTATTAAAGTGACCCTTAACCTGAACTTGATGAATAATTAGCATTCGATTTGTAAATTAAGCATGCATGTACATGAAGTGGCACATATTGTACAATAGATGTTCAGTAGCATACAAAGCAAGGGGTTTTTTAACATGTTTGTGTTCTTCTGAATACCCACGGCTCCTTCAGTTCCCCAACCCACTCCCCACCCCACCCACACACCCCAACAAGAACATTTTAGCTTGAACACACATCTGAAAATCCTTTCAATCACAGTTAAGAAATTACATTTTTAGAGAACAATTTCCTTCACATGAGGAACGGAGCTGTAATCAGTGTCATTTTCTCAGTGGAATGATTGAGACATTTACTGTGAAGGACACACCGGTGTTCACATCTTTTTTCACATCAGCTGAAATAAGCCGTTGTGTGTTGTAACAGCAACTAAACTGATTTTTCATTTCTTCTTCAAGACTTTATTTCCAAACATTACTCCAACAGAACAACCTCCTCCCTCCAACTCTGTTTCACCAGGGGTCACTCGTAGGCGACAGTCAAACCTAAGACATAATTTTGACAAGCACAATCTCCACGTAAAGCCCCCAGTATACTTGCTTTTTAACAATGCATCATAGGCGTAGACGGGCGTCGGCTACACAAACGGAGTTGCTCACATACGTGCCTGTGTACTTTGCGTGTACCTGGAGGATTAAACGTGAATCCACTAGGGGGCAGATCAGGGCCGGATCATCCCTCGCCAACACCGGATGATCTTTCTTGACAACCTCCAAATTTGCATAGCAACACTCGAGGAGTTTGATTTTAATACATCATAACAATCTCTGATTACAAACCAGCTCTAGGAGTTTTATTGTAAACATCCCGCCATAAATCTCCTTTTTTAATTCTGCTGCTGACCTTCTTCTTTTGCTTTAAATAGTGGTTGGCAAACCAACTGCATACCGCCACCACCTGGGCTGGTGGGTGGAACAGGAGATTGCTGCTGACCTGCCAGTCAGATCGACATAATGCCCCCACGTTCATGTGCTGAATTGCATCTTGCGGACGCGTAGTGTTAATTTCTGGAGACGTGCACAACCTATGCTGCAAAGGAAAGCAGGATACACGTGGCAGCCATCTTGCGTACACAAATGCATAATTAAAAGCAAGTATACTGTATCTGGGGCTTAAAAATATGTTGCAGCCACTGCAACCAAAACATTTTGTACCTTCTGGTCATTTTGACTCCAAAATATGTGAAAATAGTGCCCAGGTTTAAAAATACCGAAATGATCCTATAAGGTCTCATTGATATTACAAGCACCTCCACATCCTCACATTTATCCAACAGCAATTAATCAGCAAACAATGTGCTAATGAAGACTACTTTTCCTCTGTGATGAATACCCTAATTAAATAGAAACATAGCACACAGTTAAAATGTGGGAATAGAGTCAAGTTATGCAAAATGCAGTACCAGAAATCAGATCAATCTGTCCTTAGAAAAGTGAATGGTTAGGCCCATATCAATCTTTTTGTCATAAATTCTAATTTCTCAGCTATGAGTCACTCAAATGAGTTGACCTCCCTGTTCTGCAACACAATAATAATTTTTAGAGCTCACTGTGTATCTATTTTTAATCAGATGCCCTAAGTTGGACCAGATGGAGTGATTGCTCTTATGTGGTTGGATGGGTGACCATTGTCTGACCCACATTTCATTCCCAGCAGCACCGAATGTAAAGACCACGAGTAATTCATTTCAGTAGATCGAGTTATGTTTTCACTGTCATGTGTTGTAATTTAAGTCTTCAGTATAGCCAACCTTTAAATATAACTGTGCAACTGAGATGGCTTGCACTAAATGTACAATGTACAGGACAATAATCTCTGCTTGTGTTTAAGGTAAAAGAACATTTAGAGTTTTTACAACTTGGGTCTTATTGACATGGTTTTTAATAGACTAGGACAAGGGCATCTGTGATGATGCAGCATACTTAGTGTTTATGCACTAGGGCTGCAGCTAATGATAATTTTAGTACTTGAAGATTCTATAAATTATTTCAATCGATGCATCGTTTAAGAAGTACTTTAGCTGCGGCTATGAAATTCATAGTGTCATACAGCAAAAATCAGCCCAACAACCAGACAACTGCTTTACCAAGAGAAACATCACCCGAGTGCTATACAAGTTATACTAAAAGGTGCAGCTCCCCGACACCCAGTTAACTCATGAGTGTGACGTTACAACCCAAACTCACGGCCCAACAAGGACAAACGCACATGTGAACATTTTCAGCTGCGGCTTACTTTGGCTAGCCTTCAACTCAACAATCAATCATGATTTCAGTTAAATTCTAAAGTTGCTGTTACCTCGTCTGTGGTCCGCTGGCAGAACACCAATGTGTCCGAGCGAAACAGTGTGCTGTATAGTTATATGGATTAAACGAAGCCTTGATGCAAAGAATTTGCGTCGATGCATTTTAGTAATCAAATTAATCAATTTATTGTTTCAGCCCTATTATGCACCATTGAATTTTGTTTGTTGTATGCATCTCTACTTTCTGATTTCACACAGTAGATTAAAGCTCTGCAATGCAGTAGACCATCATTTAGCTTAGATCCTTTAACTTTAACCTCTTTAAGCATTCATTCAGATGGTTTATCTAAATTGGCATTTTAAATTTCTCTTACGTGATCCTAGTGGAGCTGGTTTCCAAAATCTCTAAATATAAGTAAAATGAACCGCCACGATGACAAAACCTATGCAAATTTGACCCAAGTTGTAAAAACCAGAAACTAAGTGTTTGTTTCTAAGTTTAAGTTTGTTTAAAAAAAGAATCTGTTTACTGATGGTTTCATTTCATCCACAGGGGTCACCACTGTCCTAACCATGACCACCTTGAGCATCAGTGCTAGAAACTCCCTTCCTAAGGTGGCCTATGCCACAGCCATGGACTGGTTCATGGCTGTGTGCTATGCCTTTGTCTTCTCTGCCTTGATTGAGTTTGCCACAGTCAACTACTTCACCAAGCGCAGCTGGGCATGGGATGGGAAAAAAGAGGGCATGGAAATAAGGGTGAGTGATTCTTATTTACTTTTTTTTAATGAATGGATATGACACGCCTGCACTCTGGTGCTGCACCAACGTTGATGATCACAAACATGTCATCCTAAAAAACAAAAAGCAACACCGTTTTTCAGAAAGGAGTCTCTCTCTGCTCTTTCTGCTTATTAAACTTCAGATAAATTATTCCTGGTCTTTTGATTCGATAACCTAGTTAAAAATTCTACAAGTTGCTCAGTAAGTCCTCATCTTACACTGGAGGAGCGATGAGGGCAAATTGCACTTTGGAAACACTGATAGAAAGTTCCCTCCTTAAAGCGGCCAGGAGTACTTTATAAAGACTATACAGAGAGATTTTATTTATTCATTAACAGCCAAATGGAACAGGGACAGCGGGGCGGAACAGTGAGAGCAGAAGCAGAGGTAAACTCCCAGAGACACTGGCCCTGATTTATGACGGCAGCATATGTTCAAAACTCATCCTACAGTCAGTGTAGGCTCATTCTCCCCAGAAAAGATGGCTTCCTTAGATCTAGTCTGCACATTATAGACACACTGATTAAAAAGTGTGTGTGCATTATTTACAGCAAAGCACCTGAGGCTGACATTTTTATTTTAAGCATGAAATCTTATAAAACACAGCTTAAAAATCTTTAATTTGTCAATAGTCTGGGCTGTTTGTGTGTTCATGAGGATATAGGACAGTGTGTGAGTTCACCTCAAGGTAGGAAAGTACTGAGCATTTTAATCACAGAGTCGTTTTTTGTGTGTTGATTATTTGGATAATACAGGGGTCTTAACAAGATGCTTTTCTCTGAAGGACTCACATAAATTAAACTTGATAAGTTCCTCATGATAACCCCAGCGCCTAAATTTACCATGATTTCTGTGATGTTTTATAGCTGATCACATCAAATGAAATTGATTAGAGCCATGAGTCGGGAAGCAATGAGGGAAATTAAAGCACTTGGTTCTGAGCTGAACGTATGAAACACAAATTCACTTTGGATTGCTTCAAAGAGGCACATTTGTTCCAGTAATGAAAGGAACATATGAATTATTTTCTAATTTACGAATGGCTCAAATGATTGATAGAATAAGGTGTTTGATTGACAGTGCAGAGAAGTAGAAAATGGACTTTTCCTCCTCTCACAAATATATATATTTACACCTATGAAATAATAATTATTAATAATTGTTTGCCCCTATGTTTTTTTTTTTTAAATCAGTTACTTTAGTAGATCCTCACATGGTGCTGAAAAGATGTCAAAGAATAGCATAAAATAAGATTTTGTGTACAATATGCATGTGGGGTTTACAAAGTCACGCTGACTACTGAGAGCAAAAACCACCATAGATATGCATTTTGGATGTTAGAAACAGAAGTGCAAGAAAATGTATTCTGTCATTACTTTGCTTTATATTGAACTACTTTTCTTTTCCTTTTATTCTGAGTTTGTAAACTCATGTTTAAGAGAAACCTGGTCATGACAGCAGCACAAAAAAAAGCGTTAAAAAAAACAAAGAAAAGCTCAAAGATAACATAGGCCAGGCTATGGCAAATTACTAATTGTACAGCTAAATTAAGTATAATGAATCTATTCCTGAAGCATTTTTATTTTCTAAATGGATCAGCACATATGAACAGTGGCACTTTACAAAAGAAGTAAAACTACATTAAAAGGGTGGCCTCCTGCATTTTGTGTTGTCAAATCACATTTGAAACATTAGGAAACTGTCCTAGTAATAAACAGTGGCTAGGTAGCAGTTGTTATTAAAGTGCTGCTGGCACATAAAATGCTGGAATATTTCTATCAGCCACAAACACAACATAGGGAGAAATACATTTCTTCTACTGCGACAGACAGGGCCCTGAATCTATTTTCTGCTACTAATGTACAAACTGTTTGACACAATCAGTACAGCCTTTCCAGTTTTTTATAGCCTGACATTTGGTCCTCTGAGTGATTGGCAGAAATGCATATTTTGCTGCCACAGAACTTTTCAGTCGGTGAGGATAATTTGCAGCGTTACATTGCAGCAGGGCGGAGGATTTCTCTCTCTTTTTCAATTTTTTTCCCTCTCTCTCTCTCTCTCTCTCCCCTTTTGATGCCTCATCTTAATGGCAACAGCCTGGGCTACGTTCTCGGGGGCTGTGCTGAGCATGCAGTTGTCATGATAGATAAAAAAGAATGGGGTCACAGAGGGAGACGTGACACTCCCATAACACTCCCTGCTAGAATGAACTACTGGAAAGCAGACTACACATGCTTATTCCCCTTTTAATATACTGACATATAAGATAAAAAGGCACCTATAGGAAGAGAACATATAACAAAAAGAGTATTTCCCTTTTTAGCTCAGAAAGTCCTTTTGAAAAAACCATCCCTCAGTCATCAGAGGCTGGGTTTCAGCCACCACTCTTACTGGAACCAAACGATGACTTCATCGCCCCCAGGCTCCATCTTTTTTAGGACTGAAATGGTGAGCTGTAGACGAGTCAACGAGCACTAAATTTACTTTGCTGATTATGGAGCTTCTGCGCCATTTTCTTTTTTTTTGTCACCTAAGATTCTGTTTGACAGGCGATCTACCTAATTATCTCTCCCCTCGCTCGCTAAAGGTGTGCTTATTACAGAAATGAGCAGGTAGGGAGTTTGGGTGGACTGAAAGCTTGCATATTCTTGCCACTCTGTGACACATGATTGGACACCACAGTGTTAGATATGTGCTGGTTTCATCAGCAGACGCAGGAGCACTGGCTCATTGTGCTGTGGGCTTCACTGCTGGAACTCAAGTGACTACGTTTACTGACATTTTAACACAATGGTTTTAGAAAACCGAGGAGCCACAGCCTGTCATCATCGTCATCAATCCCTAGGCGTCACATTTCAGCACCACACTGCTACCAACTTTACTGAGCAGGGAAGTTGCTAAGTTTTTGTTTTTGTAGCTACAATATGGAAATTTGGTGTACTCCAGGGGAACAGAACCAAGCTTCTTCTGACTGCCATCACTACAAACAAAGTCCTTATAGGCAAGTCATGCCACTCGGCCGTCATCTTGGCAACGCCTCCGGGCAGCTATTTTGGACCAACAAGACCAGGCTCCTATCTGAATGAATGGGGAGAGAGCCAGAACTGCCCTTTCACAGGTCACCGGGACATAAAACTACATGAATAGAAGAGCAGTAAAATAAGGTTTAAAAAGCATTTTTCCCGACCGGTTATACTTCTACTACGCATGCGTCACCTCTTCCATGCATGCGCAGTAAAAGTAAAACAGACCCTTAGGTCAGTGGAACCACACGATTGGCTGAAATATGTTTCCCGCTTTGGCTGTTAAAAGCAGACAATTGGCTTTCTAGCGGGAGGGACGGAATAACCCGTCGGGGCCCCCCCCGGGCTTTCCCCATAGTTGTATTGAGGACGTGACTGAGTGGCATTTCTGCTCTAAAATGTCTCTGCTACAAATGAATTTGTAATATAGCAAGATGGAGTGGTTATATTGGATTAAAAATCCTAAACCTTTTATTGCATATTAGCACCCTGGATGCAGGGATTTAGTCTGTTCAGTGTTGCAGTATAACAAGTGAAAAAGAAACACAGGAACAAGTAAAAGGAAATAATAAGTGTTGGGAGGAACCAGTGTTTGCTTTGATTTGGAATGACAAAGCCTGTTTATTACTAAAAAAAAAAAACAAAAGCATGCGCGCATGCACGTACACACACACACACACACACACACACTTTGGCTCCCTAAACACAGTCTGCACCCTCATACACCCAAATGCTCACATACTTGAAGCTATTAAATATGCCAACACCTCATCTCCAATCTTAGACAGGGACAGGCTGTCACAAGGTTCAGTTACCCGCACACATGCACACACTGAGCTCCAAACAGCAAGACACAGCGCGGCACAATTACCCCGAGGATACTTAAATCACACTCATAAAGAAATTCTGATGCAACAATTTGCAGAAGTTACACAGGCAAGGTCAGTAGATGCATTGTATTCAGGGGGTATTTGTTCCTGCAGCTAGCTAAATGACTTGTGCAAGAATCTTTGGCTGGAAGCAAATTATGTGCTGTGTCACATCGTGTTCATAAAAACATGCACACAGCCCAACGCCACATATGGTTTCCTCAATAATTAGACTATATAAATTACTGCAGAGGCCAGCCAAGCCAAATAGCGACAGAAAATTACTTTGCTTGGCTCGTTTGGCAGGTTACTGTGCAAAGAACATCCTTAATGCCAAGGACTGAAGAGTTTAGGGGGCTATGATTAAGGTCATGAGGCACATTATAGTAGTCTTCGCCTTTCCTGCTGATGTAAGCCATCGCTGTGATAGAGGAGGCTCATGGTGGTGTTAGATGTGGAGGAATCGATATCCTGGGAAAGTATCTGGTTATCCAGGGGCATGAGTGCGACTCTTTCTCTCCCTGTATTAATTGACTTGAAATAGACCCCTTCAGGCAGTGGCTCTTCAGTTTAATGCAATCAGCTTTGTGAGTTCTCCACAAACGTTGCTGTTTTTGAGAAGTTTGAATGATCGTTCCCGCATGTTGTCCTGCTCACTTGAGGAGCAAACATTGATCACGCTGTACATGTTTCCTCCTCAATCCCGCTGCTTCCATCACTTCGGAAAGAATGACCTAACATCTTTGTGCTCCCTACTGCGCATATTATTCCACTGCTTGTCACATTTGACATTAAGTGGTCTCCTTGTGCATAATAGTGACAAGATGGGCTAGTTCAGACCCTGAACAAACAGAGCACATGTCTCCTCACATGTAAAACCATTTTTCTGCCTCCATTTGTGAGTGCTTGTGAAAATTGAGGATAAAGACCAAACAAAACAGTCGGCGATGAGCTCTGTGCAGAAAGAGATCCACCGTGAAGCATTTTGTAGGAGTGGAAAGAGGGGACATTAGTTATGCTAATTTAAAAAGATGGGAGTCAAAGAAAAAGGAAGGAAAATTAAATGAAGCTGAAAAAGTAGAGCACAAATTAAAGCTGGGCTCAAAGCTAAAGCAAAAACAGTGAGCACTGAAAGTGAAACACTGTGACATAACCAACATCGCTTAGGTTTTGCTGCGGATCTTATAAAAGTGGCCACAGTAGGGATGAAGGGTGTGAAGAAGACTTGTTCTCTCACATTTAGCATTCACTGTACTCTTTTAAGCAGAGTTTAGCTATGTGAGTGTACCAATTTAGCAAATAAAACCCTGTCTCCCTGTGCGAATTCAATATGAAAGACAGTAATGATGTCTCTCTAGTTGTAGGAAGAAGGCAGTTTCTCCAGCCAGCTTGATCACGCTCAGCCTTTGTCGTGTTTGTTTTATCGCAAGCTGTTTGCCTGAAAGGCCCGGCTGCTCTCATTGATACAGTTTGTCAGACATGTTTTCGGGCACTGTTATTTTGCTTTGTTTCTAATCCTGCTCTGTGCTGCTACTGTTAGCAGTATCAGATGCCAGTCCGGCCTGGTTCTGCAGTGATGCAAAATATAAACTGTTCCTAATTCCGCACTCTTAATTTTAGCAGCCTGATCATTTTGTCATGAATTTTTATCATGACCTTTTTTTTTTCTGCAATCCAGATTTGTATGATGCAGATTTTAATTGACAATATTTATAGTGTAAAATGTTCAAAAGTACTTCCAGCTAGATACTGATGAATAGAGTATGTAAGTTGGGTAATTTTAATATAATTGGTAAACTTTTTTTCTTTTCTACTTTTCTTTTCAGGAACCGTTTCAGGCTAACATGGCCAGGATTAAAGATATGGTTAGGCTTTTGTTTTGTTCTTGTGTGTGTCGTGTCTCGTGGTGTTGCTTCTATTTCCTCTTTATGAGTTCAAATGGAAGTATTGTTGAGTCTGGTGCTTCGCTCCTGACAACCTTTACTTTACTGCCTTCTTCCTTTTCAGAGAAGAGAATCTGCGACTCTGTCCAAAAAGGCAAACAACACCTTCAACATTGTTGGAACCACCTACGCCATCAACGTAGCGAAAGACCAAGGTTTGACGACCATTTCCAAGAGTGCCCCCGGAGCATCGGCTAAACACCCCTATCTCCATAAAATGGACGACCCCTACATGGAGGCCAGGAAGTCTTACAACCGTGTCAGCAAAGTGGACAAGATATCGCGCATCATTTTCCCAGTTCTGTTCTTCATCTTCAACTTAGGCTACTGGGCCACATATGTCAACAGAAAGCCCGCTATCATGAAGGCAAACAACCTAAACTGAATTTGACCAAATGCTAAGCTTGATCTGGTTTGGAAGGTAGAACGGTTTGCAGGAGGCCAAGTCCACCACATCTTAGAGAGTGTGTGTGTGTGTGTGTGTGTGTGTGTGTGTGTGTGTGTGTGTGTGTGTGTGTGTGTGTGTTTCATGTGTCTGTCCTTCCTTGACAGTTTGATATTTTGCACGTCTGTGTAGATGGATGGCAAATTTTAACATACAGTAGATTCATCTATAATAGCGGACCTTGGAGGGAGCACATTCTCACATCAGACTGTGTTTGTGTAGCGTTTTCTTTTCACCCCCCTGCACACTTAGCTCTGGCCCTGTTCCCTGTTGTGAGTATCCAAGTGTTCCTTTGCTGTATCTTGATGCTTGCGGTTTTGTAGAGTAGTCAAAATGTGTTTTCACTATGTTTTGACATGTTTGCGCTTTGCTTGTAATAAGTTAGAGCAAGCATGCCTTTGAAGTTGTCATTGTAGCTCATTACCAATGATAAGGTTCTGACACATCCATCGAGTTAACAACATGCATGCACGCACGCACACACACACAGAGACACACAGTGATGCATCAAAAAATGCCAGAAGAGCCATTCCTAGGTTGCTTTACTGTGCTCCGTTAACCGGGGGCAGCCTGTATAGTTCCATAGGAACATCGTTAATAAAAGTCGCTGTCTGGCCTTTAGCTCACGCTGAATCTCAGCAGACCCAATGCAGTATCAACTGGAATTGTTTTCGCGTCCCGTGTGGCTGCCTGTACATTTTCTAGTCCAGTGGCTCTTGTTGTTTTAACTGGCTGAGTATGTTCATCAACAGAGAAGCTATGTGCCTTGGTGAATACAAACATGATAAAGAAAAAGGCTTTGACACCCTCACACTTGCATTAACAGCACGCATATGCACAGTGGTCAGTGTGCATTTTACATGCAAACTGGTGTCCACAGGCTGCATGCGCTGCAGTATGTGGCTATGCCCCCACCCACGGCCCATGGGCATGGGCACCGAGTGTAAAATTGCCCATTAGTTTAGAAGGTTAGCAGACCTCTGCCTGTGAAAAGATGAAACAAAGAGATTAAAGGATCCAGCGTAGTCCAGAACAATTATTATGTGCATTTATGTTTTGGCTCATGGTGTGGCGTCTCCATGACCCGAGCAGTCAAAACAAACTACCACCATTACCTCAGACTGAAGTTGAATTCTGAATTACATTTTCCATGGAAATGCAAATAACACTAGATGTTTTATACATTACGTAACACCAGACACTCGTTCTTTCAGTATATCATGGGCAGGCACCCTGGTGCCTTTATTTCTTTTTTTTTATTTGTTTTTTGTTTTTGCATCAGTCAGTGTAGCTGTTTTTAGCTCCGTTATGAGTTTTCTGCCTTTCTGCCTCGTCATAAGCAAGATTTAGATTCATGTTGTACTTTCGCCCTTTTATACTTTATTGTGTAAAGTATAGTGGTGTTGATTTGATTGTCTACATATGCTGTACCGTTTTGTGTTTTAAAGTAGACAACAAAAGCCATTTTGTCACAGTCATACAGTTTTTCTAAACAAATGTTGGAAGCACTGAATCGTCACTGAAGACTATTATACTGCAACATGCTGTCAAATCAGTAAAACAATAAATATTAACTGATTTCTCCAGCAGTGAAATAATAAATTAAATGTAATCGTTGTGATCACACTCAAGAACAAACTAATGGTAAAGCTGATTATCTTTCCAACAAGTTAGTGATGTTTTGCAAATCAGATTAGTCTCCAGCTGTGGCAACTGTCTCCAACTTTTGTTTTCCGTTTGTTAAAAGACATCTGTATTTTTTTTTATGTGTGGAATTTGGTTCGTGTTTATACAGATGCTATATGATTCTAAAGCAGTTTCTGTTGCTTTTTTGCTGGATGCACTCTGGATATTTTGCATTATCTTAATTCTAGACTTTTTGATGAAAACTGGGCTCCCAACATGCAGTGCATATCTTCAAAATGTATCTTCAGTGGTTAAGCATAGGAGAATGAGTGAACTGTGTCGTGGCCTCTTTAAAAAGGTGTGTTAGTAACACAAACCATGTACAATGTATCAGTCATATGTTAATGCATGACAATCTGTACACGTGTATGTCTGCAATCTCCAATAATGGTGTGTTTCACACTAAAATAGGGCTTAGTATCAATGTTTCTGTAGTTCATCCCATCTACTCATCAATTACCTACTCATACCCCCAGCAACATTTGCATAAACACACTTAAACTCCAATTATTTGTGCATATTGATGTGATGATAACAATTTACATTTGGCACAGAGTTCTGAAAGTGTTTTTACCCTCATTTGGAGCGCACAGATTTTAGGGTAAATTCAGTGTAACACACACAAACACACACACAGAGCCGGCTCTTCATCCATTTCCGTTACAAATGTTACAATACAAAATGTCTATGAAGATTTTCAGTCATCCAGGTCATAGTTATCCAACGAAGGTTAAAATCAAGGGCAACTGGACTTGGTTGAAGCTACTGGAAGACGTTTCGTCCCTTATCCAAAGGACTTCTTCAGTTCTGACTGACTGGCAGGGAAACTCAGCTATTTAACCTCAGTGGGGTCGTTGGCCCGGGTCATCTATACCGCTGGTTCGTTAGTGTTCCTTGTTGCTGTGACGACAGTCGTTACAGTCGTTGAGACTACCTGTGGCCAAGACTGAACGACCATCGTTGGTATCTTCACCTGAGGCCAATAGGTTACGTTTGTTGAGTTTCCTGGGAAGTGATGAAAGGACAGCATTGTAAGTGGGGGATAAGTGGTGGCGTAGACCCCCTCCCCTGTTCAATGACGGCTTCTCGACCCGGGTGTAGATGGCTTCCTGGACACCTCTTTCAAACCATCCATCTTCTCTGTCTAAAATGTGCACCTGGTGGTCCTCAAACGAGTGTCCTCTGTCCTTCAGATGTAAGTAGACAGCAGAGTCTGTATTGTTCAAAACCACAATCAGAGTATGGTTTACTGTGAGACACCACGTCTCACCACGACTTGATTTTTATCATTTTGTCTCAAACAAACTGATTCTTGATACACATCTGCTGAGGGTGTTTAAAGCCTGCTGGCGGCAGCTAATTCCGGATCTAATGACACAGAGCCCTAATGTTTATGCATGATTCCTCTGAGTAATGAGATCGAGGTACTGAAGGTAGTTATGAGAAGCAGCAGTCGAAAAGTATTTCAGTTGCGTTTGTGAAACAATTTGCCTCAAATACAGTCGTCCCCTGAGTGACACAACGCATAAATCTTGTAAAATGCGGTGACCAAAGATGCTTTCACATGGCAAGTTCATGCGTGTTCGGACTAAAATAATCCATTTTAATCCCATCCACATTGAAAAAGGACTTTTATGAGTAACTCGTAAAAATCTATCAATACTTCAACAGATTTATACAATTCTTGACAAGATAGCGATGTGCCCCATAAATGTATATGACCAAATATTTATAGAAAGACACATCATTTGTTTGATCCATTTCATCTGTGGTATTACTCTGGAATGTAATCTATACTTTATCATTCATAATCTCATTATATAAGTCATTATACTGTATATTCATATTTAAGTCTTTGCGTCAGAAGAACACTTTGACCCATTTCCTGATCTGTATGCATCTGTGGGTAACAAAAACATTTTTTTTTTTTTTTTAAAAAGGGGGAAAATACACTTACAGAGCCACAAACACAACCTCTGCCCTCTGCGGCTGAACTACAGTAGAATCGCAATCATCCAAACTGCTTACACTGATGGCCATAACAAACAAAACATGCAGTAATGCAAAAATAAGATATGAACGATCAACTTTAAAAGAAGAAACTGTAATAGAACAGTAGTTTGACGAGTTTGCATGTACAACAGGTCAAGAGTTTGTGGTAATTCAGGAATTTTTTTTTTTTTTTTTATTATCTTCATTCCTGCAGGGTTTTGATAAACACCAAGACTCTACTATATTGTTGCCATTTAGCTTTGGTTAGGATTGTGTTATTCTTGTGGTAAATCTTTTCCTCACAGGGCCAGAGTTAACTTCAGCAGAAACATGCCATCCTATAAGCCACAGTATATTAAGAGTAAATTACTATAGGAATATATTTATGCTAGTACAGCATTAAATATTATATGTTTTATACGACATAACCTCTACAGCAATGACGCAAATCTCTTGATGGGTAGAAAGCCGTAGACAAATAGATATGCTGAACAGAGTATTATAAACTAAATGGCAACAATTCTATTTGCTCAGAATAGTGTTACCGAGTTGTGAATTTGTAGATATTGTGAAATCAATTCCAATCGTTTTTGTGAATATTGATATGTCATGTCATTTATTTTTACATCTGATAAGTACCGCTGTCTTACACTGATCTCTGTAACACTACGTGTTATGGTATTTAAAGATGTACAGTAGAGATAATATTCATCGAGCTACTTACGAGATCAGTACCTTGTGTGCACTTTTCAAACCTAACTGTGAATTAGCAGCAGTCTGCAAACGGAGTTGTACACACTGTGTTCTCTCTCCAGCAATTTCACTGCATGTCCCTACGCATTGAGAGATCAAAGACTTCCTCCACAAAGACAGCTCCGGGAACATAGTGGACTTTTGTGTTTTTGTTGGGAAGTTGCTCTCTGCAGTATATGCTCAGTGACTGGACTCTGTATGTTGCCCTCTGTCGTTCATGTTCTTACTGTATGAGATGTAGCGAATGGATGGGGATTAAAAGGACGTTGTATTTTGTCTTGGAGTTATCCGGCCCTTCTTGCTCATATTCAAGCCTCAGAGGTGCAAATCTTCAACTCCGTGCACCCATCTTATGTTGCTTTGCTCATCTGAAATGTATTTTTGTCTGATTCTTTGTGTCTGTGCATGCGAATTGTTTTGTTTATGGTGTTTACACCAGGATTTGTTGGATAAAAATCAAGCACTACAGTGGGAGGACATCCTACAGGGAACTAAACAGGTTGCACACATTTAAATCAAAGAACAGCCTAGTAAAATGTCTCATTTTTATTTGGTATATCTCTGATATAGATAGATATTTCTGTGAAGTGCAGCATCAACATATGTAACTCAATATCTGAGGTCTGCTGTACATTACACTCAAAACAGGTAGACTAGGCAAGACACAACAAGGAGCTTAAGATTTAAATAAGCTCACCATTTATGTAACTAACA